TTCAGCAGCTTTGAACAATTCATATAAATAAAGATCTGCTGTACAGTCAGGCCATCTAGGAGCCGTTAAATGACAAATCACAGAATCACAGAGTATGCTGAGTTGGAAGGGACCCACAAGGAGCATCCAGTCCAACCCTTAGCCCTGCATAGGACCATCCCCAAGAGTCACACCAGGTGCCTGAAAACACTGTCCAAGTGCTTCTTGAACTCTGTCAGGCTTGATGCTCTGACCACTTCCCTGAGGAGCCTGTTTCAGTGTCCAAGCACCCTCTGGGTGAAGACCCTTTTTCTAATATCCAACCTAAACCTTCCCTGACACAACTTCAGGCCATTCCCTCAGGTTCTGTCACTGGGCACCACAAGAGAAGACATCAGTGCCTGCCCCTCCTCTTCCCCTCATGAGGAAGTAGGCTGCCATGAGGTCTTCCCCCAGTCTCCTCTTCCCCAGGCTGAACAGACCAAGTAATCTCAGCCACTCCCCATACTCCTTCCCCTCAAGGCCCTTCACCATCTTCGTTGCAGCAGTCAGAAAATTTAAGGACAAGACATTGTTTTTCCCACCACTATCTAGAAAAAAACAGACTGTCACTCTAATTGTCAAGGGTCTTCTTCTTCCTTTCTCTAGCCTTTTTCTGGAATGTTTTCATAAATTTCAAAGATTACCCCTATTTCAGGTAAAAAGGGTTGGAACCAATTTGGGTCCCAGAATCACTTGCTTCCTTCAGATTTCCTAGAGAAAAGGGATTTTTCTGCTCAATCTTGGAGTACTATTATGTCAGTCTAACACAGAATTGATTATTTCCTAGAAAGGTCAAAAATGGTTTTCTAAGTCATTCAGATATTTTTGCATTCACACAATATAAATCCTTTACTAACGAGGCCTTATCTCCAGCCCTTCTTTGTATTTCCAGAAAATACTTACAAAAGGATACTTTTGCTACAATTTTCATGAAATTATCTAAGCACACATGCAATTGGAGACATAACACAAGAACTAGCACTTCCTCTAGCAATGATGAGGAGAGATTAAAAAGGTTCAGATTAAATGGCTGGAGAGTGAGGGAAGTGCCCTCTTATCCCCATTTTGTGAAATGACCCCAGCAATGGCACATATCTGCTCAGCTGGACTTCTAACATCAGCTTCTTGTTTACCACAGTTCCAAACAACCTACGTTCTCACACTTCACTAATGAAACACATATCTTCACAGTATCAAAAAACATAAAAAGTGCAATGAAAGACAGTTTAGGTCTTCAAACTTCCTTAAATAAAGAAACAACAACTAGTCATGTAGGTTTATTTCACACTTCACTACAATCCCTTTTCCCCGCATATTCCAAAGAAAGCTTCAGTCAGACGTTATGTTCTGTGCCTGGGACACAATTAATTCAGGAAGAATATTTGATAAATTAAAGAAGTTATTTGATAAATTAAAACGTAGCCAATCTCCTGAGCATAAGTAGATTTTAACTTTTCAAAGACCTGCAATAAGGTCAGGTTTTCAGATGGTCAGTGGCTCAGCCTGAAATGTCTGCTCCAAAGCAGAGAAACTAGAGCTGCCAAATGAAGTACACATAAATGCTTGATTGTTTTTAACAGCAAAAAACCAAGCTATTTTCTCTAACTACATTTGGATAAATGGGTAAGTCTTTAAATAAGAGTAGTTCAAAGAGATACTGTCAGTCTCAGGTGGATAAAGCAGCATCAGGCCAAATGGGAGGGCTTAGAAAAGTTAAAAGCAAAGTCAAGTTGAAAACAGTCTCTTAATGGAAGTCCTGCATGACCTGTGCTTCGCTCAGTTCTCTTCGGGGGCAGGGACTACGTGATTGTCTCTATCTTCCACAAAATGCTGAGTGTACGTCAGTACTTCATCCTATGCAATAACAATGGTGCAAATGGGAAGAACAGGGAAGAATGAAAAAACAGAGTTATATTTCATCCAAGCAGCTTCCCACTAGTTAAACTTCCCTCTTACATAATCCCACCCTCACACTTACATGTTAACATAGTAAAACATGGTAATACAGTGGTTTTTCTTGCTAGGTTTTCTTTTTCTAACCCATTTGTATTAGAATGAATCACAAATAAATCCTTCACCTGCCTTAAAGGGTTTTGTTTCTTTGACGCATCAAATCCAAAGATTGCATTGCATGGACACTGGTAGTCTCTGTATTTTAGCAGAAATTTTACACAGAATTAAAAAAAAATATGTCTTTTATCACAACAAATCAAAGTCTATACAAAATACTTCGAAGTCTTTAAAATTTTACTGCAAAGGTTTGGGGTTTTTTAAATTGATTTATTTTTGTGTTTGTATTTAAATCAAAATAATGGGGAAGGCAATATTAGGAGACACACACAAAAAGAGCACATTTTTTCACTGCTGGCCGATGTGCAATTTCTTCCATCTCAGTACTCATATTAATCTAAGTCAATTAAAGACAGTGCTTTGTTTTAAGAACATAAGCCTGAACTGAGAACATACCTGTCTCTGCGGTATTACACGGAACTGATTTAGAAGGATATTATGGAAGTGTACACAATACACTCCAGGGTTACACAATATACTTTTATGTGCTAGTCTGCAGGGTTAAATGTTTCAGAACTTGAAAATGTTTCATATGAATTGGATCCTTAAAGGATTAAGTGTAGTCTGCCTTTGGTTTATGTAATGCTGTATAGCAGTCACACAGACTAATTTAGGGATGCAATTCATTCCTCTGTTGTAAGGAAGATACAGGCTACATTGCAAACTGCGAAGACTGCTTTATTATGTGACAGCTAAAGTTGAGCAAATAATTCACCTTGAATCATTTGTGCATTTACTTTTTTCATCTTTGTTTCAAGAATGCCTGAAAGAAGATTACAGTCTCTCCAACGTACTTGTTAACTAAAATTACCCTATAGAAATGCTCACATGGTTTGCTGTTACATGCCTAATGTTCATAGCTATGCTTAGTTGTGACTGACAACAAAACTTATCATAGGCTGTTCTGGCTGAGTGATCAGCAACAATCACGTTTCTTGTACAATGCACTTTCTTTTTCCTTGTAGTATATTTTCATCAAGAGCTTGACAAGCCTAGCTAAATATGAAATTAAAAAACAAAAATAACAGCAACAACCCCCCCCCCAAACATCGTTACTCTACAGATAAGAAAACTGAGTACAAAGAAGTTAGGCAGGAAACCCTGGTCTATCTCCTGCAGCATCCTTCAGTAATGTGGTGCTTAAATTGCACAATGTGAAAGGAGAAGAAAGTCAACTGATTTAGAATAGTGAAAAACTTTAGTTAAACACATAATTTCTTATCAGGATAGAGAAATCTTCAACAGAAGACTTCACGGCCTGCGGGGGGAAGGCAGACACATGTGGAGGGAAAGGGATTCTTTAGTCCAGAAACAGAAACGCAAAAATTGAGGTACATCCAAAATGAAATCTCACAGAATCACAAAGAGATCCCACTTCATTTTACTTTTCTCTTCACTTACAATATTCACATAGAAAATGACAGAGTTCATCAACTTTTGTGAGTGCCAGAGAACTGACTCCAAATGAAACATAAAAAAAAATTAGTTGGAGGGAAAAGGATCAATAGTTACCATCCCAGGAGAGCAGTAGCAACAAAATACTTCTATTTATCCAGACACCAAGGGATCAGCCTCATTTATCTGTAGCTATCACTCTGCAACAGCAGAGATTAGGTTTCTCAAGCAATCTAGGCTGTTTTCTAAAGTGAGTGTTATGATAGAATGCAGAAGTTACCAGTAAAGATGAGGAGAACATCGTTATTTTTAAAGGATATTTAAAAAAAATTCTGTCTCAGTGCTTTTTACTCGAATGGAGCAGCAAGACGTTTTGAGGTTTTCTTTTTGCAGTGAACCCAGGTGGTGGCTTTAGGTGACACAAACTGAGAGGTTTTAGTTTGTTCTGCAATTGCCATGTCAATTCATGAGAGTTCAACATGGCAAAAGTTCTTGATGTGCAACTTAGACAATCAGAAGTTGCTAGTATCATACAGCACTGAACAGCACAGGTGATTCCAGAACAAAGAGAATCAGTTATCCTCCAACTTTTCACCTTTTTAGCTTCTTATGGTGGTACAAAATATTATCAACTTGATTCCCCAGGACACTAAATTCACCCTTTACTATATATTTCAGAAACAGAGGAAAAATCAAACTCAGGACATTTATTAGCTCCCTCATTTTTCAGTAGACATTCCTCTTGGGACAGTTGGGTGTATGTGTTCAGAAAAAGTAAGATTACCAAGCTCTTTTCTTCTCTTTTTCTTGGTTGCTATGAGTGACAGGTACTGGATTAACCCACTATGAGAATTCACCTTATTACAAAAGGGTCTGACAATCAAATGATAAGTATCACCTCCTCAGTGCTCCAGCCACAATTTACCTACATGTGTTGGATTATCCCACTCTTCTCTTAACTTTGCCTCAGAATGTTGTTCACATCACTATTAGCTTCTTTTTAATGCCTCAACACAAAGCTGCCATTCCAAGTTTACACAAATCAGCTCTAAATTTTTAAATCACTTAGACTTTAAAATGAATAAATATTATTTTAACATGAGATCTAAATAAATCTAATTGGAAAATTTCCAGAAAAAGTGGATTATTAGCGGAGGGTGGGGTGGGAGGGAGGCGGGGAAGACAGGCACTTTAAACAAAAGTTTTCTGAGTCCTAAATGGAATTTCTGACCAAAAGAGATGTGTCGAGACAGGAAGAACTCCAAGAATGACCAAGATGCCAATGCTCAAGTAGAGTTTCCGTTGAGAGAAACAGGGTTAAAGCAACCTAGAGATGAGATGATTGCCCTTCCTATTTATCTGTGTGGAACAGGAATGACAATAAAATACACCTCTCCAGGTTGTGGTAAAGATAATTTGACTGAAGCTTTTTAAAGAATGAGAAGAAGAGGTTATAAAAATGCTCCGCACATCTGTATTTGTGCACAATGCATATTATCAGCTGCGAAACTTACCCAATATAGCAACAACTTCATCATCCTGGATTACTTCCAAAGACCCTGAAACCACAAAGCAAAGGCTGTCGACGCTCTCTCCAGCGTGGTAGATCAGGTCTCCTGGAGCACAGTGCACTGTCTGAAATTCCATCGCAAGCGCTCGCAGGCACCCATCGCTTGCCAGTCTGAAGGCTGGGTGCTCCTTGAAGACTTTGCGGTTAAGATGCACACAGATATCTGCTCTCATGTCCTTAGGGCATATCTGCAAAACCTGAGAAGGAAATCAATCAATTCCTGTGCATGGTTTTTATGTGCATATTATTGCTAGTTTACTACACAAGATTTAAGAACTACTTTCCTCCTTCTTGTAAACTTTCTAATCTCAGTCTGTACATTTATTTTTCTATTATTTACACACATAAGCCACAATGCTAACTTAGTCTACTTTATAATACCTGAAGGAAAATACTCTTTTCATCTCAGCAACATGCTGCGCAGGATATTGAATTACCAGAAGGTCTTAGGTTTTTAAGACAATAAAACTGAGGGCACAGCAGTACAGAAAGTGTTGAAGAAAAGCTTCCTGAAGGATTGTTTCTAGAGGGTAGGTCACTTTTTTGATAGGCAGATTCCATTAAAAGCCTGCTCAAATTATATGCTCCAAATCATAGAATATTGCATAGAGGAGAAGCGTGATCGCACATCTCTTCAACAAACAAACAAACAAACAAAAAGTTATTTAAAGCTTAATTAACTCATAATATTGAGAACTGCAGGTATTCAAATTTACCCCTCAGTGGCACTAACAAGTTTTTCATTTACACCAGAAAGGGACTTTAAGGTATGATGCTGTGTTGGGCAAGCTGATCTTCCAAATGCAATGTTCCTCACGGCAATTCATGATGTGTGCTCCTAAGAGAACACAAACTGATGCTTAGCACAGCGGGTACCAGGCAGGGCCATTTCTAAAGCTTTTTAATATAATACAGACAGCAGAGTGGAAAGAATACAAAATTACTACTGCAAGTACAGATTAAAAGTTCCTGGCAAAACCACGGGAAATACGCAACATGAACAGGGTTTGGAGATGACAAAAATCGTTGGAGGATAGTCTGTGATGAACTACATCCAGGATGTACTATTTGAGAAAAACATTGAGTAGTCCAAGTCTGCCTCTTCTTTAATTTTTTCACTAATAACTATTCCATCCAATTAAGGAAAATTCTGGTTGAGCTTCAGAGTTACTCCCACACATTTTCCTAGATGGTAAGAGAAGAGAAGAAGCAGCATTGCCTCAATGCAGATACTCTGGAAAATATAAAGGTAACACAGGAAGCACCACAGCTATGTTTACACCTTACAGTGGGGCTCTGTGCAAGATCTGAGCAGAGAACCAAGCTCATAATTCATGGCACTGGTTCCAGATATTATGCCTGGTACTCCAAAGGCAAATGATTCTAACACCAATATCATTATCTTTGGCCCACCTCCAAGCAGACCTGTTATTACAGATATTACTTCCAAAAAGTTATATCTCTATAGCACCTAAGTGATGATCTTTTTTGGTTGCCCCACACAGAGCAGCAGCTGAACTCCCCAATTCTCAGTTTTCCAGGCTCACAGAAGTGGGCTGGGGCAGCAAGACCAACATTTAACATGGAACACAGGTAACAGCCATAACTGTCTTTTAAATTATCTCGTGTACTCTGGCAACAAAAACATTCTGTACTAGCAGATTCTTTCCAAATTTTACTACTGGAATTACACACACCCTTTGCAGTTACTTAAATATACCACACAAAAAGGGTTGCTGTAGTAGAAACCAGAATATAAAAGCGAGTATTTAACATTATGCTCTTATCCAAAACACAGGCACCAAACGAACAGAGCTCAGGCCTGGGAGTTTATGGATTGGCAAAACCATTAGTCAGCCTTACACCTGCTAGCTTTTGCTATGCAGATGAAAGTTGATTCTTGGTTTACCAGTCACCACCAGTGGCAGTTCAGCTATGAACACACCAGTTATTGAAAACAACACTGTATTAGGCTCTTTGGTGTCCTGACAACTGGAGACTTTTTCCCTGTTCATTAAGATAATTATCAAAGGTTACAGTGAGAATTGTCGTGCTTGGTTTGGTTATTCTGCTGTCTCCAAATTCATTCTTAGAGCATTTCTCTCCTTACCAGAGGAAGTCAGGAATGAACTTTAAAGATAAGCTAAAAAAACCCGTTTTACATAGCAATTTTTTCTTGTTGCTTTGTTAAAATGATGACAGTAACTTGTAATGGGGGGTGAATGAAAGCAGCAGCACTCACTACACTATGTATCCTCAGATGTTGTCTCTCCATCTTCCCCAAAATGTATGTACCTCAAATCCATAATTCCACACAGCTTCTAACCAGCACTATCCAGCACTAAAGTACCATTTCTTTCTGAAAGCTAATATGAGAGACAGTGCTTACAGAATTATGGTCTGGGATCTAAAAATGGCAGATAAGCTGAAGATATTTAGGAAAGCAAACAGTACCCACTGTACCTCTCAGTCTCCAGACAGCCCAGTGCAAGGCCACATCTGTTCTACTCCTTCATAACGACACTTTAACAGCTATACAGAAATGACACTATTTGCTCTTTAACTGCATCATCTACAGTTTAGAATACTAAATTAAGCTGCCAACCAGAAGGCTGGTGACCAGGGCATTGGTATAATTTCTTGAATGATCCACCGCACAAATCACAGCAGAAGAAAAACAGTATCTATCTTCATAAAAGCTGGAAACTAATACAAAAGAGGTAAGTAGTTGCTTTTGTACATTTGTTCTGGTGAAAGGCCATTTGTCATTTTAAGACACAATGGGAAGTTACTTGTAAATTCAATGAATTAAAATGATAACATTTGCCTCACATAAGGTAGATTTCAAGTAATACATTATTAAGTACTTCCATCTTTCATTAATATCTTTAATCTGCACACAGAATGTTACATTCAAATTCTACAAAGACAAAAAAAAATTACTTTGTTTTCAGGCCCACAGAGCTGAAAATAACCTCACACAGAAATAATACAAAAAATCTCATTTGGAGAAATTGTGAGATTGTGTTACAATTTGGAACTTGTTATTTAGTTATCGTTCTTATTTACTGAAAACCAAGCTTTTTTCTTCATAATTTTTATACAATTTCATGCCATATCACTAGCAAAACACACATACTTTTACCACTAGCATATGTCAGTATGACAGAATAGCTGAAACACTATATTTGAAAGTTTAAAATTAAGGGAAGCTACTACTTAGAACTATTTAAAGAATATTTGTCTTCTTTACTAAGACAGTACCTCCTGTTTATTTTAATGGAATACTTTCAGGATGTGACTTCTTTCCCCGCAGTTTAATTTACTTACCTTTTCAGTATCTATTCCTCTGGACATTGACCAGGTGGAAACGATGTAATCCATCACACGTTCACTCAGACCTTTAGGGACCTGGTAGAGCTTTAGAAAGTCCCGGACACTGTTCAGCATTTCATGATATCTATTTGTATTAGCATACATTTGCTGAAATATGGTTGTCACATTACCAAAAATGGTGGCATACAGAAGGGCTGTGAAAAAGAAGAAAAACCATAGAAATAATACACAATTAGTGATGATGATGTCTGTGTTCCACTGTGCTTTATGACTGTAAATGCCAGGCCCATAAAAATGCATGCAATATCAGTGCTGTGTTAGGAAGGCCTGACGAGCACAAGCATTTTATAGGTCACCTTCAGCACTACAAATTGAGGACCACCAACAACTTTTGGGAGGTCAGGTCCTGCATCGTGGAGTTCCTGAAACACAACTAATTGTGTTTGGCCATAAAACAATTCAGTAGTACCCAAAACCTTATGAAACCACAACAGAAGACAGAAGAATTTTAAGACAAATGGCTTGACAGCAAATACTTTAAATTTTCATCTCTGGTTTATAGCACCTGTGTTGAAATGCCATCAGTGACAGATCTCTAAGCTTTAAGTGCATTATCATAGTAGTAAGCTGAGTCATCATTACCCACCTCAGTGTGACAACAACAATGCATCAAAGCAGAAGATGGAATATGTAATAAACAGCTACTATGGGTCAGTAATTTATAGATGCAAGTTTAATAGTATATAAAAACTCACATTATGTTTTATATCTTCAGGCAAAAGAACAGCAAGGCCTGAGGCAAGAGATAAAGCCCTCAGAGGCAGACCACTGCACAGCCCTTCCGACTTCATTCAACACAGTTATGAAGCCAGATGGTTCATCAAGATAGGTTTAAGAATAAACATGAGAAAGAAAAAAAGGCAGTGTTTCCAAGTGTGGAGAGAAACAAATGAAAACACACAAAATTTGAGAAGATCCGCCTGCTGAAGTCCAAGACAGAACAGCAGGTTGGTGGCAGCTTCAGTGGTCATGTTTTGATATCTTGCAGAGGCTGGGGCTGAGAGTCTTCCAGCCAATCCAGCCCTGAACAAAGGGGATGGGCAGGAAGCCTCAATGGGAGCTTTCCTATGTTGTGAATCTGGTCAGTGATATGTGACAGGTTGGCTGTAGAGGCAGAACAGTCCAGCTGCAGATGCGATGATAACCACCAGTAAGTGTTCTGGATTGCTGAGTAAGTTCTTCCTCTTTATCATTTCCTGTCCCCCAAAACAGGTACCAGATTATCAATATCATATCTCTGCCACTCAAGATAAAAATAAATTACTGAGAAAAGAGTATTTTTCCTTATCGAAATACCCCTTTTTGCTGTTTATTTCCTCCCTCACCACCTGTAAAAAAAAAAAGTCTTCATCCCCTTCCTTTCTTTGAGAATGCAGCTATTTATTCAGGTCAGTGTTATAGGCAGATATCCTTAAGGCAACTAAGATGTTTTAGGGTTCTATGACCAATGAAAAACCTTTGATTTTGTGCAAAAGAAACTTAGAGGACTGTCTTTCCCCTGATCATCAAGAGATGCAATTTAAATTTAGATTTGCTCAAGGCCTTTACACAGCTGATTCTCTGCAGAATTCCTTCTTGATGTGCATGACTTCTTTTCTTTTTATGAGTTTTTATAGAGAACAGCTCTCCCCTTTTCCCACTACCTCTCTGTACAAATGAGTATAGAAATATAGAGAAAAATGTGGACACTCAGTTTAAAGAAAAGTGAAGAGTATGAATAGGGATACAGTGACCAGAAACATATATATCTCTGTTTAACCTTACCTTGTGCCTGAGCAAAACCATACCAGGAAGTCTGATGCAAAGAGTAGGGGAGAACAATAAAATGCTTTAAAAAACAGATTTACTATAACAGCTCCCTAGTACACGAGTATTTTGTGTTAGAACAGCATTACCTTTCCCTAACTAAGTCCTAGTTTGCTCTCTGTTATGCAGACGCAAACACAACCCTACAGGACCCTGCAGTAGCACGAGGCATCCATAGACATTGTTCTTCTCCCAGCCACCACAGAACTGAAATAGGTGACAGATTAGTAAGAGGGTCACAAGCACATTCTTATCTGTATATTTCTGGGAAATCGTACTTGTGTCCATACAACTCTCTGGGGCAAACAGTGAGACCTGGGGGCTCGGTACCTTGGCATGTACAGCTCTATGCCAGCAAAGGTAAAATGGAGTCACCACTCTGCATTAGTTTTCATCTACAAGAAGCCTAAAGAAAAAACAGAAATTCGGTTTCTCCATTTTGATTATTACGAGACAAGCAATTTCCACAGCAAACTGCAGCTCCAGTATGACAATTATCTTGGCAAGAAAAATTATTTCTGCCTAGATTAATTTTTCACTTTTAAAAAATTCCCAAACTTACAATCCCTAATATCATTAGCTAACCATTTTATTACTATTAAAGACACATTAAAGCAAAGGATTTTTGCAGCCTAATATTGAGTAGATACATTAGCATATTAAACATTAAACTCTTCTGCATGGAAATAGCTGGCTGTATGCCTTTCCTTCTTTTCAAAGGAATAATGAAATGAACCCACTGCAGTAGACTGCAGCCCCAGAATGATTTCAGAAACACAGTCTACTACAGGAAGAAAGTTGAGCTATTTATGACAGAGCAAAATCCCCAACATCTCCTCTCCATGAATGTCAAGATCCCTCAGAAAAGATAGAGCCCGCCCCCAACATTAGTATTCTTATCCGACAATAGATAAAAACACATTGTCCCCAACAATGTGGCTACCCATTTACAATGCAGTCTATGTTACCCCATTTAAACCAGTGTTTAAATAATGTCAAAGATAAAAGCACAGTAATTTCAATAGCAATTTACTTGCACAAGTGAATCTTGAAGGTCAGACACAGGTTGGAAAGGTCACCAAATCATCTGCTACTTTTAATGATGTAACAAGTAAGAATAGAGACATAAATACAAGTCAGTGCGGGTCTCAGCTACCAGAGTAAAAGATCTGGGATCTGATTTTAGAATTATAAGAGGAAGAATTTCTATCTGTAAGAATGAGAGGTTTACAATTACCCCAGTTACAGATTTAAGTGCTGCATGTGGTTCCTGAGATGAATCATCAGATTGATGATGATTTGTTCAAAATGCACTCATGCAAAGCCCTCGCATACAAAACGTGTGCATAAGAACTACACAGCAACAAGTGAGACCAACATCAACTAGTGAACAGCCTCTTACATCTTGCCCCAAAGGCATGCAGCGCTTTCTGAAACCAAACTGCCTTCATCTTAACTTTCCGGAAAGCTGATCCAGGAATTCTATCTGTCTGCATATAAGTTCCACTTAACAATTAAAAAGCCAAAACAAACTCCTTTTACATACTGTGCTAACCTAAATACTATTCAAAGAGCAAGCACCTGGATTTACAAATAGCAGATGATTTAAATATATAATTGCACTTCTGTTTCATCAACAAGTTCCTAGTTTATAACAAATTATTCAATTCATAGATGGCTGTGAGAAATCACAGCCTTGAAAATCTGTTGCACTATATTACTTCTCACTGAATATGAAACACAATCATAAATGAACCAAAAAAACTGCATGTCTCAAAGGCATTTTTCAAATAACACATTGTGAGGTCACACAGAATTAACATTGATCAGATAAAAATAAAAGCAGAAATTAATAATTGTTTGTATTATATCATAATTATGTGAGAAAACCACATTATTTATAAATGTGCAATTAGAACAATGTAAGAGCTTATAATTGGTTGAGATTAGAAGTCTTGATTAATGGTAATTACGCTTCTTATGGGTGGAGAGCATGCAGTTAAAAAGGAAAAAGCTGAACTGTTAATTACAATCTGCAAGCAAATACCAAACTGAACAGGTATCTATCAATGAACTGTTTACAGAATTAGTTTTGATAGAATTGTTATTTGTAGTCTTGCAACTTGAAATCAAAGCATCTAAAGTAAGATCTACTGATCAAGTATCTACATAACCTTCTAGAATAAGTACAGAATTTAAATAGGCTGCCCCATTTTCTATCAAGACAGAAGCAGAATTGCTTAATTTCCTGCTTCTTAGGAAGCTTTGTGTACTATAAGGTTTCTTATTTGTAATCTTTCATCTACCTTTTGTTTTTTACTAATACAATGCATAGAGATATCATTTCATTTAGCCGGTAAAGAACAAATGTAAACAACTTAGCCATAATCTATTAGGTCAATTAATATTAACACTTCATTAATTTTCACAATATATTTACATAATATTTTCACGTGGTGGAAAACAAATTAAAATTGCTACTATCATCTTGGCATGTACACCAATTCCTGAATTTCACAACTGGGGAAAAAGACATTTTTTTAAGTGAAAGTAAATTCCCAGAGGAGCTCTCCCCCATGTTGTCCCAGTAACTGTTGGATCCTGCTCTTCCCACAGCTCCCTATTCTCCTGGACTAAAACAATAAATACACTGCTCCCCCTCCCTTCTCCATTCCACCAGTCTGTAATTTGCACCTCAGAAGCAAGGCAGTAGCAATGGCAAAGATCAAAGAACTGGCACACTACTATCAATTGAGCGAGTTTGAAAATCAATCCAACGGCAAAGAGCAAAGCAGAAAGCCTAAATAGGCCGTGAGGGACACGCACATCAAGCTATGTGGCAGAACCACTTGACTTCTAGGATGAAAGATGAGAGACTACAGGCAAATTTTATTAAAGTCTTAGTCAAATCCTACTGCAAATCTTCTCACTTTCATCATCACATTTGCTAAATTCACACTGCTGACAACAAAACTGGGACACAGAAGGACTACACTGGGCTCCAGCTACAATGGAAATGTCTCCCCTACAAAAGGACAGGACACCAGTGAGGACACAGTTGACAAAGGCTAAACAACAGAGCATCAGACATATAATCTTTTTTCGTCTGCCTATCACAAAAAAATCCAAGAACTGCAGTGAAATGAAAGTCACTGACATAAACAAGGGAACAGCTGCTCCAAGAAGACACTTAAGCGACTATGAAGGACTAGAGTAGTAGAAACATCTGTGCACCTTAAAATAGGCTGTTTGCAGTGTGTAAGGGCAGAAAAGGAAGAGTTAAGAACAGCTATGGAATAAACACCAAAAACAGCTCCCACTGCTTCTC